GTATGCATAGTTGTTCAGATGCAGCTCAAAACCAGGCCATTGTTGGCATTCCAACTTCCAATCAATGTCTAACGTGTGAGTGGAAGTGTTAGGATCCATCTTACAGCTGGGCCTCTTTCATGTACACTGTAACCGAAATGGCTTCTCCCATGAATTCCTTTTTCACCACATGTATAGGGGTAGTAGTTGCATCACAGTGCGCGGCCTAGCAGCTGGAAATTCAGGCAGATGTCTCCTCAGAGACTGTAATAGCATTAACATCAACCTCGTGGGTATATGTCTATGGAATGTAATGCCGCGAAGAAGAAGAAGAGCTCTAAGCTTCACTGCCAGTTGACTGTCGGAGGGCTTCAAAACTAGCCCTCTATGCGACAGTAAAAAGTGGGCTGGAAACAAAGGCCCCAGAGTAGTTGCCCTTTGGCCCCACTATCGGTGAGCATGCCTCTCCCACGAAAAGAATGAAACATTCGGAGCACCGTGCACTTATAGTCGTGCGACCAATGTCTGGCTCAGTTTATGCATGATGACATGGCACAAACGGAAACATTCGGAGCACCGTGCACTTATAGTCATGCGACCAATGTCTGGCTCAGTTTATACGTGATGACATGGCACAAACTCCACAAGCAGCATTGATGTCTCTTCCTGCTCTTTCTTCTCTATGGGAACCCTCTGAAAGGAGTCTGGGAGGGCACAGTGGGGCGATTCTTATGTTCATCCTCATAGCCAACCTGGCCTTGCTCAGACATGATCATACACTAGGAACTTGGGTAACTATGTTGCTCGGGGTCTGGTTTATCCATAGTTATACAGACCTAACCCCTGGTGCAGGCAGCACTATAGTGACAGGAGGGCTTCTCCTGTGGACATAGCTATCACCTTTTGGGGAGGTGGAGTATCTACATCGACACGAGAAGCTCTCTCCTGTTGGTGCAGGTCGCATTGTCACTAATTGCTACAGCGGTATAGCAACACCAGTTCAGCTGTTAAGACAAGCTGGAAACCTTCTGGACCTCTACACTGCACAGACCGAATAGGGGGTGCATATTATATATGTGCACGTATTTCAAGGAAGTTACAACAGTTGATGTCTGATGCTTTTGTGTCATCTTCTGTGGCTAACAGAGGTAAATGTGGAGGGAATGGAGACAATTAGCATGGGTTTTATGGGGAACTCGGGGGGGGGCAGGCGTGTGGTGCATGTGTGTATGAAGATAATTACAGTTTTTTATTTGTAAGTACAAAAGCATCAAACTACCATTAACAATAATTACATTTTGATTCCAAAACATCCTTGACAGCATTGGTGAGTAATTTCAGTCCTAGAATATAATTTATGTGAGTAACACTGCTGCAGGGTTATAATAAAGTAATTAATACACCGGAACAGAAAGCAGCTGTTCTTAGCAGTATGCAATTTATGGCAGCCATAAAAAATAAAGTTAAAACATAAGCAACCCAAAGAGGTAGTGAGGGGAATTACAAGCAACATTAACCTTTTCCTTTAAAACAACTACACACACACAAGATTTATAGAGCCTGATTGTGAACTCGGTGGGATTACTCATGTAACTGTTCACCAGTGTGTGTGTGTGAAGGGTTCAAAATCTTGCCCTGAATGTGGTAAGTTTTAAGAGAGAGTGTTTAGTGCGGTACAAAAAACTGCTACTTACTCCTCAGGTAAGAGGTATGGATCTAGTACTGAGACTGCTGGAGGAGGGGATCCCATCTTGGTCAGAGCCATGATATGTTCAAAGGTTATATCGGTCTGGGTGCCCGTATCTACCAGATAAGACTCATGAGAAGGGCTGAAGATCTTAGTGCGTGGGGTTCTCCTCAGGACCTGCACCACGATGGGCTCTTTGGCTGTTTTGAATGCTTCAACTGCCTGGTCATGTGTTGCTTTAGATAAATCTTTCCCATTTACCTGTGGAAAGAGGGAGAGGGAAACGATTAGAAGAGAACAGGGGATGATAACTTCCAGCCTTCATTTGCTAAAATGCCTATGAAAAGTCAGGAGTGAAAAGTCTGCTCTTCATCTTGCCGCCTCCTTTTAAAAAAAATATTTGTTGAACAGATACCATGGTGACAGTTGCTGTGTGAAACCCTGAAATACGTTAGTGATATGCTCTGAGAGTCAGGGACGCATCTAAACAATGTGGCTTACTTAACAGCCTGGGGACCTTCAGGGCACTATGTAAGTGATAATTAGTAAGGGTAAAACAGGAGGTAGAAGACTAAGGGGATGGATAATGCAGGTTATGGAGCTTCTTTTCTCAAGGGAGGAAGGATGATCTTGTGGTGAAGACAATGACTGAAATTCAGAAGATGTGGATTCAATTCCTGGTTCTGCTACAGCCTACTTGTGTGTCCTTGGATGTGTCACTTGGGAGCCAAGTTTTCACAAGTGTGCAGTATGTTGGCTGATGAACTCTCCTTTTAAAACAATCTGGCCCTGTTATGTCAGCCTCACTGAGAGCCTGGCTTCAGTTCCTCTCTGTAACTGGGGGACACTTTTCTAACTTGCAGGAGTGTAGTGAGGATAGATTCATTAGTATGCTCAAGGTGTTTAGTTACTATGGTAATAAGGAAGCATGTGACTACCTAGTGAGGTAGGCCACCAATTTCAATGTGGATCAAGTTGACAGTGACCAAAAGGGGCACTCACTAGATGCCTATTCAGTGATCTATGAGAAATGTTTCCAGTTATTAACCTGTAATAAAAAGGCACCAACAGCTTATCATAATTGACCTCCAAATGGTGAGCAGACCTTGAGAGTGAAGAAGCAAATGGTGTGGGAGGGAAGGTTGCAAAGTCACTGGGCAGGTTTTACTAGTTTTATTTGTTTAGTGGAGGAGACTTCACTTCCCTTTGCTGCCCAACAGGCACTTTCAGGAGCTCTACATTCACTTTAACCTTTAAATGCTAGAGTGGCAGCAGTGGTTGATGTCTCCATTCACTGCCCTATCTGTCTCAGTGTGGCCACTACTTGTGAGTTTATTGTAGGTCTCATATAGTTAGTTCTTTTCTTAAAGTTCCCGCTGCTGGAAGCAAGCAATTACAGGACAATCTCAGCATCCACTTAAAAACACGATGTAAGTTTTTACCCCCCGTACAGAGAAACTTGGAGACGGGAAGTACATGTAGCCTAAAGAGCCAAAAAACCAGGAAACAAAGAAAAAGAACTAGAAAGAGTTTTATTATAAGCCAATCTCATGGTATGTGGGGGCCAGAGTCTAACTACTGAACGCTTGGAGCCGGGCCCTCGTTTTTATGTGTATTTAGGAAATGCTAGGGCTAGTTATTTATGCAGCGCTCCTCCTATGTGTGACCTTTTCTTTTCTCTCCCAATACATGAGCACGTCTTAAATCTTGATAACATTTACCTTTCACACCTCTCTGTGCCTATAATGCGAATTTGTTCACTACAGTTTCCTGATGAAGAAGCTGAGCACTCCAATCTCAGTTTGCCAGAGGGTGGGGAACTGAATGCTACTCTCACGGACCAGAAGCATAATCACTCCCTTCCCAAAATCAGACCACTCCACTGCTTCCCTTCCTAATTTAAAGATTCTGTTCACAACTCTCCTCTCTTAAGTTTTGCCTCAGAATTGCTCCCTTTTCTGTCTCTTTACGTTATTGGTACAAGAGTGTTCTTGCCTGCAGCCTGGAAATGTCCGTATGTTTTTCTCTACCCTTTTGGGACAGAGTTTGCAGGAAAGACTGTGTAAAATGTTGTATTTACACATTATTTTCATTCACCGGGTAGCAACAGGTCCCATATTCTGCTGTTTATTTCAGCTGTAAGATTTCTCTAGGTTTAATTGTTTAAACAAGGCACAAACTGGCACCCTGTTTACTTCTTACAGATTAGAAGTCCCTCAGCACTTGTCCAAGCAGAACAAGATATTGATTCTGCGGCTCTGTTTTCTAGTTTCTTGCAAAATCATTTCCCCATATTACCGTACTACAGAACTATTGGGACAAGACCTTTGAATAAGGAATATTCCATCAGTACCTTGTAAACAACTTTTCTGATGAAACATTGCAGTGGTGCCTTAGCATCATAATAAAGGCTAAGGGTATGTCTACCCGCCATGCAGTGCACTCAGACAGAACTATTTGAGCTAGCCTGTCTACCCGCCATGCAGTGCACTCAGAGACAGAACTATTTGAGCTAGCCAAGATCTAGCTAGCTTGAATAACGGTATCAGTGGAACTGTGACAGTACAGGCTATGCAAGCATGCCCAGGTTTTGATTAGTTCAGGGCTACTCAACATGTGGCCTGTGGACTGTATGCAGCCCGTGGACCATTTGTTTGCAGCCTGCGGTGCAGTTTGGATTTATGCGAGGCTCAACACGCGGCCCGCGGGTGGGAGCCAAAACAAAAAAGGAGTCAATATAATGGTCTTTTGTTGATATGTATTTTAGTAGATAAATTCCTGGACTGTGACTGCTCATTAAAAGTGCTATCATATAGGTGGAAATCGGTAAATATTGCATTTTATTAATATCAGTAAAACCGACTTAAATGGGGCCTGCATGTTGTATAGTCTTGCCTTAATCTTTGTATTCATACCCGTCAGTGTGAAAGAAGCTATTTACATATATTTGCATGTCTATGCAACCACACTTAAGTTGCGGCCCTCGGCATGTGCTGTGAGTATCATTGTGGCCCCTGGAGATTCCAAAGCTCTGGGCTAGACCATACTGTTGCAGCTTCGTTGCTCATGGCTATTTAAGCTGGCTACACATTCGCCTTAATCTTTGTATTCATACCCGTCAGTGTGAAAGAAGCTATTTACATATATTTGCATGTCTATGCAACCACACTTAAGTTGCGGCCCTCGGCATGTGCTGTGAGTATCATTGTGGCCCCTGGAGATTCCAAAGCTCTGGGCTAGACCATACTGTTGCAGCTTCGTTGCTCATGGCTATTTAAGCTGGCTACACATTCGCTGTAGCGATGGGTCCCCAGGCAAGGTGGGGGAGAGACCGGCTTCTGGCTCAGGGAAGGGGGGGGCAAAGGTGGAAGGGGCAGGGCTGGGAGCAGCCAGCCCTCAGCACTCCCTGGAGCCAGCTGTGGGCCCCTCGCCCCCAGGCAGCCCTCAGAGTTGCCCAGAGCGCATTATGCAGGGCTCTGTCGGTGATTTAATATTAAAGGGTTTGGAGGTCTTCCACTGCCACAATAACAATGACCACAACCAACCTATTTCACAGCCTTCCCAGTTGAGGGGTGTATGGGGTCAGCAAAAATTCCGTCTTAACCAGCTATTCCTTTATTCCACAAATAGTCCCATTGATGCAAATGGATTTTTTATAGGTAAGGCCTCAAGCTTTTCATGGAGGTCATGGAAGTCACAGAATCTTGAGTTCCAGCAACCTCTATGACTTCGTTCACTGCAGCTAGGAGCTGCAGGATCCTCTTGCTGCCTGCAGTGGTAACCCCCGGCCCCCCAGAGCTCCTGGCTGCCAGGACCATGAGGGGATCCCAGGAGTTCCTGGCCATGGCAGGGACCCCTGGAGCTCCGAGTCCCCATAGGAGTGGGGCCCTGGAGCTCTGAGCAGGCCCTGCAGATGCCCAGCCACTGCAGTGTGGGAACCCCACAGCTGCTCTCTCCATTTGGTCACGGATATTGTTAGTAAAAGTCAGACGGGTCATGGGCTTCCGTGAATTTTTCTTTATTGCTTGTGACTTGTCTGTGACTTTTACTAAAAATATCCATGACACAATCTAAGCCTTATTTATAGAGTAAGGTGCAATTCCATGTAACAATGATATCTGGGTTTGGCCCATAGTTAACATATTGCCTATAGCAAAAACCAATAAAGAGAGGGTTAATGTCAGTTCACATACCCGTTCCGTTTGTGTTATCTTGGGTACAAACTTATTACACTGTCATCTTAGACTCATCACTGAGAAATGTAGAAAGGTGATGACATCAGTTTTTTTTGATCAGCCAGCTGAGAATGGGAGCATTTATGATGTGCTAGCATTACATACATGTTTCATTAACAGTTGCACGGACTGCAATTGCTCAAAATAATGAAAGGCATGTTAAGTTTGGCTTGCTCAAACTAAACATCATTAACTCACCCAATCGAGTAGATTACTTTAAAATAATTTGTAAACCGTAAAATAAGTCCAGTGTAATGTTTTCTGTTTTTAAAAGGAAACACAGATTAGGTTCCTAGTTTTATTATTTACTATAAAGTAAATGTTGCAGATATTTACTGTGTAAGACCCAAAACTAATTAAAAAAATAATTTGTATACAATTAAGATGAATAAGCAATCCAAAATTAAAACCAACCCCAAGTTATATCAAGTATTTCACTTTACAATTCTGGTCTGAAATCACTGTTGATCAGACAAACTGTTCATGAGCCTCGTTCCAAAACTTAATGTTATAAAAGCTAGTAAAATTGTCCAACTAGTGAGAACTGGATCAAATCTCTGATCAATTTTCTCCCCAGTAATATAGCTAATTCTTTGTGCTAAATGTTAGACAGAGGCTTTGCATTTCTAGTTTGCTGCATAACTTATTTCAACACCACATAAGGTCAGTTTCTTCACCTAAATCTTAACTCTTCCAACTCTCACAAGTAGTTATTAGGGAGGTACTTAAGACTCACAGGCTACATCTAGACTGGCATGATTTTCCGCAAATGCTTTTAATGGAAAAGTTTTTCCGTTAAAAGCATTTGCGGAAAAGAGCGTCTAGATTGGCATGGACGCTTTTCCGCAAAAGCACTTTTTGCAGAAAAGTGTCTGTGCCAATCTAGATGCGGTTTTGCGCAAGAAAGCCCCAATCGCCCTTTTCACCATCATGGCTTTTTTGCGCAAAACAATTTTTAGCTGTCTACACTGGCCCTCTTGCGCAAAAACATTTCCGGAAAAGGGCTTTTGCCCGAACTGGAACGTC